CGGCTCACTAGTTACTTAAATACCTGTGGGAACAGATTTTCATTTAATAATGCAACTAAAATTTGTATATTTTATTTTCATCAAATACTTTTCAAATACTTTTATTTGGTACTTTCGCTAATTGAGTACATGTTAGCTAATTGAGAGTCTGTGTGAACAACTTTTAGTTTAAAAATCGAATTTGCATTTGGATTTTTTTAAGAATCAAAAACTTGGTCAATTATCAAATTGTGTGCTCAATTAAAAGCCGAACATATTTAATTATATAAATTTAAAATGAGCGCTTTGTGACCTCTAAAGCGATTTCCGGCCGAGCTGCTCCTTCAATTTGTGGTTTCGCGTCTTACTTTTTTCCAACAAATGAAGGGATCTACAGTTTATATTGAACCACCATTGAACGGCTGATGGCATTTTTATGAGGAGCCTTTGTTTCACGTCAGCAAAAGACTCGGCGAGGTTGACATTCCCTGCCGAGGGGCGACCTCAATTAGAAAATCTAACTAAATAAAAAATTTTATTGAAATTATTTTCTGTAACCTTTGGATGTGTTTTAATCAAAATAAAAATTCGTGATACTTATCCAAATGATAATTAGCTAATTGAGTGCGGTGTGAACAGCTATCAGATGCAGCGTATGTTGCCCTTTATGGCAATGCGTAAGGACCATGTTTTTTAAGGAGCCTAGTGCTCAATTTGAATACATACAACATTATCCTCCACCCGCTTAAATACAATTAATAATGTATTGAAAATTGGGATTTTTGATAACAATTAATTAAATGTCGTTATGTCATTGTAGTCAGGATTTTCTACACACATAGCAGGGTGTTTAATTTTACGAGCTAAAGCATCATACAAGTTAATATAAATTGAAATTAAAAATAAAATAAAATAAAATAAAAAACAATCATTAGAATTCATAAGCTTTTCGAAAAAGGTTAAATTGTGGCAAATGCAAATTTTTACATACAAAAAAGGTTTACATCACTCTCATTCGTGTTAGTTCACATGCTTATATCTACGAGTATATATGACGGTATATCTAAACAAATATTTCCCTTTCTAATACGTAAATGTTTTTTTTACTGATTTGGAAAATATACATCTATTTTAATTGAACTTACATTTATAAAGGGTGATTATTTAGCTATTATCTTTTGGCAACACTGGTTTAAATAGCTGACGCACGTTTCGTGTCTTGTACTACTGTCAAACGTCTTTAGTTTTGTCTGCAATTTAACCACTAATCGTCTTACGAACGAAAAACGCTTGCAAATTATTGAATTTTACTATCAAAATGCGTGTTCTGCTAAAAAAGTTCATCGCGCGCTTTTTCCATTTTATCATTTATCTCATTTTTGGTTTAATGTGTGCGTAAATAAGCAGAATTTTCGATTCTAGAGTGAACACGTATTGCAAGAGCTACCAATGCATGCGAATGATGCATTGGAGGACAACATTGAAGCATTTATTTGTGAGATACCAAAATTTGACTAATTTTGATGGACCATTTGAGTCGCAGTCACGGGTAACATTTGCTTGAAATAATCTTCAAACATTAAATTATATGGACCGTACTGTGGATTAAGATTTTATGCATTTTTCTGAATTCTATGTGTTATTTTTTTAACTTCTTATGGCTCAAATAGACTCCACTCAACAATTTTGTCTTTAAAAAGTATATGTTTAAAAATTTCCCATCCATCAGTCATAAACTCTCTAGAAGTTATTCACCGCCAGTTAGGGAAAGTCTATGTACATCTTGGCCTAAATCGGTGAGTGCGAAAGTTGTGTTTTATTTTTTTTTATTTTTATTATTTTAAATGGAATTTAAAAACATCTCCATTGGTAAGAATTAAGGCGGTACTTATATATATATATATATATATTATGTATGTATGTAGGTACGAGTACTTCTTGTGAACAAACAAAGTACAGTGTACTCGAGCTTCATGTGTTTACTAATATTAGAAGTTTACTTAGAGAAAACAAATTTCCGATTCTAACAACACTTATGCGCACTTCAGTTCCCCAAAGTACAGGACACAACTCATGCATGTATGTATACATGCATATAAATGCCTTGAGTGTAGTTCTATTGTTTTGCTTACATAAATATGTAAGAGGTGCATAATATATGTTTTATGTTAAGATAAAAGTAAGAAAAGAGTATGCAAAGTATCCGACGACAAGTGAATGTTAGTTTGATGAAAGGCACTTACATACATATACCTCTACAAACAAGTATAATGCAAGTGCGCATATTTATTTTGTGTAAAATACCATTTTCAAGAAGGCACTGCACTTGTGTAGTCTGCATATTGCTACATGTGCATATATATTTACATAAATATTTAGAGAAATACATATATTTACACCCACTCATATGTCAGTGCATGTAGCAGACCACATGTGCAAGATTCGGTAGCTTAAGTGAAATGTGGCTGACCTAAGTTATTAAGTACATATAAACATAAATGTAACAAGTGTTGATGCACTTAAGTATACGAAGGGATTAACAGAAGTTCGGTCAGTTGATGACTTCCACTTTGCTTTTGTTAAATACTAAAAATACCAAAGCCTTTGCAATTAGATTGACACGAGAATTGAGCTTGAATTCCATGGCTGCATAGCGAATATTAAATAACCATCTGGGACACGAGAAATAAATCTGCTCGATGGGTACCACGAATTTCAGATGAGGCCCAAAAAGGGGCTCGACTGCATATTGCTAAATTCTTTCTAAACAGCTTCGAAAATGGTCAGCAACAAAAAACAACAGCAAAGGTAATGATGTCAGCTTACTTCACCCGATCTGAAATCGTACACTCCATTCCACTGGAAAAGGATCAGACGGTAACTGCAAAGTGGTACAACGAAGAGTGCTTGCTGAAAATTTTCAAAAATTTGTTGGAAAACAGGAAGAAAGAGAACTTGCGGCGCTAAATTTTCACATCACGACAACGCTCCATTCCACACCATTAACATTTCGAAGAAATGCGTTCAGTTCCATATGCCCTGGATATAGCTCCTTGTGATTTCTGTTTATTTCAAAAAATTTAAAAAAATTTAAAGTCAAAAGTTTACAGCCACAAATAGATAATTAAGGCGGCAAGATTTTGAAGACTGTTCTATAGTGCATTGATATGTAGAGAAGACGAAAAAAAAAAAACAAAAATTACGTATAAATACAAGAAAACTTATTTTTGTTTTCTAGTCAATTTACCGAACTTTTGTTAATCCGCTCGAACATAAGTATGTTGAATATTTGTATATACCTAAACCTACATCACATATATATGTTTATAAGTTTTAATAGTCAGGCCTTACCTCATTCAGCAAAAATTCGGAAAGAAGCGGATGCTCCTTCGGAAAGTCATTGAATCCCGCTGCTTTGTTATCCTATAAACGCCCGATCCCAATTCGAACTTCGTCTTAAATAGGTTCAGCCCTGTCGGCTAGCTTCTCTTGCTGCAAACGGCTCTTGCTGCCCTTTTTAGTGCTGCGCATCCCTCTTCGTGCCAGCTCTTTTTTCCGAATTTGCTCTTTTTTATCTAGTTGCTCATGAAGATTCTCAGAAAGCGGGGCTGCTCTCAAAGTGAAGCGGCTGTCTACTGTGTTGGCAGCCACTCGACGTTAAACTTTCCTTTTGTTTATTGACGGGTAGCTTGTGCAGCACAAAGGAGCGTATGTACCTTCACTGCGACAAGAAAGTACTGAGCGTTGGAATTAAGTCCACGTAACGAGCACATATCTATAACACTGGATATATTGCATATATCAAAACATGTTCGCTTTGGTTGCGTAATTTTCGATCCAGCCAAGAAACTTCGCAACCATATTTCGGGCCAAGTCAACCAAATTCAGTCCGCTGGGAAATACTTCATTATGGATGCTATTTTTTCCGTCGTCGTCTTCTCTAACTATTCTGCTTTAAAACTGTCAAATATTATTTGGTCATCTTGACGAGAGTGTTCCTTGAAAGTAGCATCTAGTGGCGTGAGCATAAGTTGAGGACCTTCGGTTGCAGATTTCGACGAAACGGTTTTTAAGTGGAGATGGTTTTTCTCCACAACACAGATTATCTTTTATACATATATGTATCAGTTTCCACAAGAACCCACCTGATACTTTCTTTGTTCCATGCATCGCAATTTTGGAACAGCTGGAATGTCAGCTGTAAATTTCCAAGGACATCAACCAGTTTGGTCAGCAGCTCCTTTTTAATCAGAGCACCGAAATATCCAGGCTTACACGTTTGTCCACAAATCGTACGCCTTAGAACAATTGCCGTAATTATATCAAAAGAGAATCCCACATCCGTAGCTGATTTTTTCTATGTAGCGCGTTTGAAAACCAGCACTTAACATTTTTACACAAGTAGGTGTAGATTTAGAAACGAGCCGACGCCCGCTTGCAACTTCACCTCTGGAAAAGAGACGTTACATCAATCTGTAAGGCATGCCTAAGGGGGTTATGTTGGAGTGGAAACACTAAATTTGGCTCTGTTTTAGCTGTGGTCAGAGGCTAAGCAACGGCAAGACTACACTCCATAGTCATTCATTTACTTTTTCAACTGTTTCCATGTAAAGGCCGTGACACAATCCTGCGATGCTAAAACTTAAGCTAACTTTTGGTATATACAAGTAGTAATGGTTAGCCCTCACGGTATCTGTAAAGGCTTTGACAAATTTCGTTTTCGATTATAGAAAGATTTTCTAAAATTTCGAAGTATAGAAATATATTTATGATCTTCGTTTAAAATGTGTTCGAAAATGCCACAAATGCGATTCTATAATCTTGATTCTTTGTGTATAAGGAAATTAATGAATTTTTATGTGGAAGTGCCTTAATTAAACATATTTGTGTATATCCTACAGTGCGTTTAGAAATAAATTCAAATTCATTTTAACTAACTTACATACTTACATACATAAATACATATTAAATGTTCCTCATACTAATATCGAGATTTCAAAATTTATATACTTTTCCTTCAGGCAAAGGCAACTACGAGAAGATTTGTTAAAATTTCACTTTCGCTCAACTTAATAAAAGTAAATTTATCTAATTGGAAAAGCGAGAATAAAAATTTGTAGAGAAAATTACGCAGCGATAAAAACGCTAAAAGATATCAGATATTGGCTACACAAAGAGCGCCTAAAAAGAGCGTCATTTAATTTAATACCGCGCTTGAGTCGACAAATAAGAGTTTAGCGAAAACGCTTAGCCAAAAAAGAACGCTCAAATCAGTTGTCAAGCGAAAACGTCAAACTGTCTAGCGATTGCACTCCGGATAATCATCGTCGCCTGCCAAAACGACAGACGCAAACACAAAAATTGGACATTCATAGCAAAGCGTTAACATAATGTTAAGTTCGCTCGATGCTTTAGCCGGTAAAATTTCACCTGGTTCTGGCAAGAATAGTCCGTCCCAGCAGGCACAGCAACAACAACAGCAAGATTATAATATACACCAAATCTCGGCTACAAACATTGCACAGCAGCAGCAGCAGCAGCAACAACAACAGTCGACAATACCAGCTACACAATTACAACAAACACATTCGCCAACTGCTAGAGAGCAACAACAACAACAACTGCCACGCTTCAATGGCAACGGCAATGGCAATCATTACAACAACGGATTGGATAGCAACTGCAATAAATTATGCCACATCAATCACAATAACAGCATACATCCGTATCAGAAGCAGCTATCGGGCCAGCAGCAACAACAGCATAGCCAACAACAGCAACAACAACTGCAACAGCAAAGCATATCGACAGCGCAACAGCAACAGTTGCAAAGCTTCTGTCAGCAGCAGCAGCAATTGCAACAGCAACAGCATGAGTTGTTTCAACAACAGCTGTTGCAACAGCAGAAATCACTGTTACTACAGCAACAACAACAGGCGATGGAGGAGTCCGATTCGCTGCAAGACTTTCGCAGTTGCCTGAAGGAGAAGTGAGTATCATTTAAATGTTCATACAAACACACAGACGTGCATATGGCAAAGACAGTAATACAAATTAAGTGAATAAACAATTGGCCTCATCTGAGCAACTAACCCAAATTACTAACAGGCACACAAGCATAAATATTACATTTAATTATTCATTATTACTCTCTAATTGATTCAGTGTTTTATTCAAAAATGGGTTTTGGCGAGTCAAAAATATACAAAATCACCTTACACTTAGTTAAAATCACTGTTATCGTTGAACCGCATTTTTAAAACTTTTAGAAAAAGACATAATATCATTGGTATGAAGCATAAATAAAAGGAGTCCAAATTTATTGATTTTCTACAGATTTAAAACTTTTTTTTTTGATTGAAATGAAGTAGCAGCGATTACTTTCTTGCTTCTCTCTGAAGAATTTTCGATTGCCATCTTTAAATAAAGTGGGTATTTCTGTGCAGGATCCAAACATTGAGCAAATTTTCGATTTTTCAAGAGCCCGAACTGCTGATCCACACGTTTTTATCCATCTAAAATAGTCGAGAAGATGACGTTTCAGCGTTTCCACGTAGTTTTTGAATCGTACAGCTATATGAGGCTGAGCGGTGTCATGTTGCAAAATTACCTTGTCATGCTTTTCAGTAATTTGTGGCTATTTTTCACGCAACGCATGACTAAAATTGCCTTAGTTGTAGTATATAACGTGCCGTATGGTGGGCATGGTAAACAGTAAAGACTGCAAATTCCTTAAATTTTCTTCAAACCTTTTTGGGTTCGCCAGGGTGCCTGTTGTCTTTGACGCTAAGATCATTACTTTAAAACTAAACGTTCTAAGAGAGGTTAATTGACCCCTTTTGAAAATTTACTTCAAATTCGTACATCTATTTCTGTTGGTCATTTGGCTTTCTGTAAATTCTTTCATCTCCCGACTATTCAATTTCCCACTCCGCCTTTTTCCTAATTAACTTTTAACCGTCAAAAATTTTTTAACTATCTTACATACCTTGGAGGGCCATTCGACCCCGTACGAAGTTTATGTATTTTTTCAGCTGTTTTACGACTAGATATCGAACCTTAGTTCTAAATTTAGTTACGCTTCTCATGTGACTTTTCCTTGCAATTTCAATACACCTCAGTTTTTGCTGCACTTTGATAATTTCTATTACATTCAATTGGACTTGTGTTTCATTATAACCCTGAATATGTCCGCACGTTCAGTGAGAGAGTTGGAAAGTGAAGTGAATTCAGGTGAGGAAGATTCAATTTCTAAAGATGATCAAGATGAAAGTCAAAGTGATTTTCGAGAGAATGAGGAAACTCAGGGTGATAATGCTTCAGCCGATGAAATTGAGTATTTTTAGAATCTCCGTGGGGACAAAGGTACAAAAGTTTCTTTTCGAATTCTGAAAGTGATAGTGAACAGAATTTTGAAGACACTGTCATGGTTGTTGCTTGAACTATTTGATAGCGAATTCGAGAAGGGCCGAAATTCTGAAAGCCATCACTTACCAATGGCACACGCCGAAAGAAATATTATGTGTGGTAAAGCTTCAACCGCATTTTTCGTGTTAATAGATCGAACTATTATTGAAAAAATAAAGAAATATAGAGAAGCAAAAGCTTTACAAGTTTTGGGCACTGCCTAGGAGCTACCAGTAAGAAAAAATTACAACGTGTAGTTCATTGGAGTGTTACTTATGCTTATCAGGGAAACAAATTTTCCATTTCCCACCTGTGGAATTGGAAATGGGGACCACCTTTTTTGTCGAATGCTAAGAGCGACTTCTCAGAAACTGTCAGATTTCTGCGGTTCGATGGCGGATGCATATCTTTTAAGAAATACAAAATTTTTTACCAAAACATCAATGTTTATTTCATAAGAGGTCAAATGACCCCTATTTTTTAGCTTATTAAAGAAAAATGAGTTTAGTGTTAAAAGTAGCGAAACTATTCTCTACATAACTTATCGGCCAGCCCAGATCCTCCATAAACTTCCAAAAGAATTTAATGGACATCAGCTGCACTCTATTGCCAAATAAAATAGAGACGAAATATTCCGTAAATGCTTTTCATTTAACACAAATTCCTACACTTTCGTAGAGGCCAAGACACAAGGAAACAAACGCTGATGCACAGATGTGAAACATTTCGAATCAAATGGGTAATCGCTTCCACGATCCACCGCAATATACACGCCAAGTTATATTTTGAAAATATATTGAATTCAATTTGAAAGGGTGCCTTACAAGTCAAATGGAAAAAAATTACCCGCTCGAGAAACCAACAAAGTTAATCCGAATCCGTTGAGACAGCACTACACGTTGTAGTTCAGTGTATTGAGATGTGACTTTCCACACATGGAGGAGGAGGTGCACTTGTTAAACGGTAGTAGCTTAATAAGAGCAACTCACTATCGTTTGAGAAGTGGACCTTAAGCAACCCATGATGAAATTTGTGGAGCCATCTTTAGCTGTACACAGCATCTTTTACCAATTACATAAAAGGATGTACTCGTCAAAAAAAAGTTATGTCTCTGCTCTTATGATATCTCACTGTAAATATATATAAATATAATATATAATTAGCCCTTTGTAGCCGCTGAAGTGATTTTCTTTCGAGATACCTCGAATGGAGGGATCTACAGTTTATATTAAGCCACCACCGAACGGCTGATGTTTTTTTTTTACGAGGAGCCTTTATTTCATGTCAGAACTAAACTCAGAGGGGTTGACATTCCCAGCTCAGGGATGACGCAATTAGAAAACTGAACTTAATTTTTTATTTAAATTAATTTTGTATAGAAATAAAGAATAATGTATATGACATGGTATACATGGTATGAAAATTTGTGTGTGGTTATCGGGTTGAAAATAGACTTTTGTTTTAACCTTTCTTAATGAAAAGTGGGAAGATTACATTGAAAACTCTATCACAGATAAAATATAGCTTAAACCCATTTATTGTTCACTGGATATGTACAATGGTATTTAGAATCATCACTTCCTACATTGCGGTTTGGTAATTGGAGCTCGATAAAACCACAAAGTTCAGCAGCCTGCAGCTGTTGACAGCTATTCACTCCGGCTAAGGTATTAGAAATTCACCTTAACTTTCTCGAACTGCAACGCACCAAATCGTGGTATAACCACAGTTAGGTATGCCACCTCTAAACGTCGATACAATTGACACAAAACTCACTGAAAGGGTGGTATGCGAGATTCACTACGCGTTACTCTTAAAGCGTCTTGAAAACTAAATTACCAGACCACTGCAGTGTCTTCTAAGCAGATCTTAGCCAACAATCATAAAAATGTCATTAATATATTTTCTGACATAGAAGCTGCTATTACGTTTAAACATGGAAAATTTAACATGTAAAATTGGTAATGAAAATGATTGAAGTTTTCTAGACAAAATGTTTAGACATGCTGCTAGATAGCCGAGCCTGGAGAGATATATATGACGTGGTGGACGAGCTTGCGATTGAATACACCATCTCAGCTAATGAGAACGTATCACACTCCACAGTAAAGCATACCATAAAACTACTCTTCGTTTAAAAGATCAATAGCCGGGACTTCATAAAAAATCGTCAGAATAATCACCTGAACTTCTTTATATCTAAATTTATTCAAAAATATTCTCAGTAAGTGGTTTGACCTTCGAAAATAATTTCTCTATTTTTATTTAACTGGAAATTATTAAAAAAATAAAACGTTTTCTGAAAAATGAGATTAACAAGTCGGCAAAAGCAAAGTTATTACTCCAAAATTTCTCACAAAACTAAAGACAATTCCTTGTATTAAAGCCTTATATAGATTCAGAAGAAAGAAATTTATAAGAACCAGCTAAATTATATTATATTTAACAAAAAAAAAAAATGCATTTGGGAGCAATATTTGTATACACTTTTCCTTGGTTACTGAAAATCGAGTTTATGAATCATAATATTAGAAATATATGAATATTTCGATTTTGCTTTTATTTTCATTTAAACTTGTATATAGTTTACTATTTCACTATTAATAGTTGATAAAGTGAATATAAAATTATAAAGCAACTTATATTTAATTACATTTATTACTGATTCCTCTCACTGATTTACTGCAATTTCATTTTGTATTGCTAAGTACACATATTGAGGCAAAATTAAATTCAAATTTTTTTCAGTTGATTGAAAAATTCCCTAAAGTATAAAATTGAGTGCGATAAAAATAATTTTACACAGCACAAAAAAATATAATTTATATGGATTAGTTTTCAGTTGGCCCATTATTTACCAACAACCAACTGGGATAAACTTTTGCTTATGGGAATATACATTAACTTTGTTACTATACACGCGTAAACTCATGGTTCTACACACACATCCACACACACGCACGCGAATACCACCGCTTGTCAAAATAATTAGAAAATTCTATATTTCAACATGTAAGTTGGGTTATTTGCAAGCACGCGAGCGAATAAATGAACTTCGTGTATACATACAGACATATTTATACTCATATATATGCAGTTAAATGTGTGCAGTGTTTTCAATTAGTATTAATGTAAGCTCTCCTACAGAAATACATAAAAAAGAGAGAGAAAAAACACTTGGAATGCAATTTTTTATTTGGAATTGAATAAATCGTTAAATACACTCGTATGCATGCATACATGTCAGTATGTATGTAAATACGAATGAGCACACGTAACAAATTACTAAAAATATTTATTTATGTATACAAACATCTATACACTAAGCCATTTATACGCGTACACTCTCATTTGGTATTTTGGATCGTGCATACTTTTATAGTTCTGGTTTACCAAACAAAACACGTGAGCTGCCTGTGGTTGCTCATACGACGTGTCGTACCACTGAACGCCCGACTAATTTAATGTGTAATAACATTTGACATATTGTTGCTGTGGATTGTTTTTGATGTGCCTGATTTTTTGGAGCATAATAACAGGATATTTCAGCTCTACATAAATATAAATGTATGTATGTATATA